GAGCACTGCTCTTTTGAAGCGCCCTCCCGAGAGCACTGGAAGGGCCTTTGATTTTCGAGAGGTGTCAGGCCGTTATCCTGACTCCATTCGGAAAAAACAAAGCTATATGACTGTCGTTTTTGATCAGTTGTCCAACACCATCGCCCTTTCGAGAGTGCTGTCTGGCGAGGGGCCCGAAACTCTTGAAAACCCAACTCTTGAGAAAGTCCGACAGCTCTTGAAAAATTTCCCCGTTCAAACGCCCCGGGGCCGCGTTCAATAGTGTTCAAACGCGCGACGTGGCGCGTTTTTTTTTAATGTGACCCCGGTTCCGTCGCGCGCGCACCAGGGGCCACGGGGTGGTGGGCTGCGTTTTTGGAGATGACAAAAAAAAAAAAGGCCGCCAGCAACCACACCCCGGCGCCCCAGTGCCCCAGCGCCCCAGCGCCCCAGCTCCCCGGCGCCCCACACCCCGGCGCCCCAGCGCCCCAGCTCCCGGGTGCCCCACACCCCGGCGCCCCAGCGCCCCACACCCCAGCGCCCCACACCCCAGTGCCCCACACCCCGGCGCCCAGCGCCCCAGCCCAGTGCCCACACCCCGGCACCCCAGCGCGCCAGCGCCCCACCACCCCACACCCTGGCGCCCCAGCGCCCACACCCCGGTGCCCACACCCCGGCGCCCACACCCCGGCGCCCCAGCGCCCACATCCCGTCGGCCCGCCTACAACACGACCACACAACCCTACCCCACACCCTCCATTCAACACCCCCCCACCCCCCCCGCACCCCGTCGCCTCCACACCCCATTGGCCGAGGATAAAAAAAAACTGATGCACCAGCCCCCGGACCGCTCCACCCCGACACCCGCACCCCGTTGGACCACATACCCCTAATACCCTGTTCCCCCAAACACGCCGCCCCAGCACCCACACCCCGTCGGCCCGCCTACACCACAACCCCACCATGCCACACCCAACACCCACAAACCGTCGGCCCCGACCTATGAAACATCCGCGGACGCGTCCGCGGGGTCAAGCTCGGAGGGCGGACGTGATCACGGCCGCCGCGGCTCCGTCCGCGGTTGGGTGCGGCAGCGACTTTCAGGAATTTTTTGTGACCTTAAAATTTTATCAAAAAAACAAACAAAAAACATGGGGTTGTAGATCTTTTCGAGATCTAAATTGCGCAATTTTTTATTTTCTTTTTTGACTTCGTCTTCGAATTTTAAAAATTCAAAAACTAATTTTCCTGAGGCAAAAGCTGTTT